GGCCGGGGTTTGTCACAAAAGATTGAACCGAGGTCAAATAGCCGCTAAGGGGTAGAGCTGAGATGCAGACTCAGTGCCTTCCCCATTCAGGAAAACATGCTACAGAACCATAAAGCAAATATCCTTCTAGTCAAGGAACAAAATTACATCATTGAGCTTAAGATTTATGTTATAATTTGAACTAAGAAAAGGGACCTAAATCTATAGGTTAAATTTACTGCTGCTAAGATGAGAACTGTGAAATGGGCTTGAAAAGGTCAAACAGCATTTCAAGAAGGGCTTCTTAGCGTCACCAAGAATCTAACAGGCTACAGTCTGCCTGAGATAGACTTTCTGCCTTACGCAATGAACTCTAAGACCCCCTGCTATATTCATGGCAAGAAGGCATTTTACAGAGAGCATTTGGCTGGGTTCATTCACAAGGAGACACATGTCTCCAATGATAATTCACTCACAAATGTTAAGAGAAATGGGTAGATTTTGTTAACAAAAAAATTTTATGCAGTCACAAATAGTAAAATAAATGGGTAGATTTTGTTAACAAAACCACAAAATAGTTATGTCTGTGTATTAAATAAGTACATGTGTGTATGAGATTGAACCAAATGGAAAGGCCAATACTTGATTATTTTTGACCTACAGAAAGGCCATTTCACATGGTTCAACCTCATACCTAGGGGAAATGAGTGTCTACATTAACTGGTAATCTATAAATACATTATTTCATCATGTGAGCTCAGTGCTTATCAAGTCGTCTTATTTTGCCCACAAGAAATTCCAAGTTAAAATGACCCCCACATATCCTAAGTAGGCAGACTGCCCAGGCTCTGCCGGGCCCTGGGTGATTAGGATCATTTTTCATGAACGGCTGGAGCAGGACCTCTTGAGGTGGGAGTGTGCTCGCCCCTCCTTTCATTGCTACGGGGAAGTTTTCTTACTCTTCCAAAAATGCCCTACTTCATTCACTTTAGTCAGTTTGGTTGTTTTGAAAGCAGCTTTTTTTTTTTTTTAAAGATTTTATTTATTTATTTGAGAGAGAGAGAATGAGAGAGAGCACATGAGAGTGGGGAGGGTCAGAGGGAGAAGCAGACTCCCTGCCGAGCAGGGAGCCCGATGCGGGACTCGATCCCGGGACTCCAGGATCATGACCTGAGCGGAAGGCAGTCACTTAACCAACTGAGCCACCCAGGCGCCCTGAAAGCAGCTTTTAAGTGCAAATGTTTCAAAGAGAAATCCTCCAGCGAATTACTATCAGATAATAGCACCTTTGTTTGCTGGCAGAGTGAAAGGCTGTGATGTCCTCAGACAGAAAAGAGAGAAGTTTTGACGAAGAGGAGTGGTGTGTTAGAGGTCTGGGGCTTCAGAAGTACTAGGCAGTGGTCAGTTTGAGGATGCTGTGTACTGCTGTGATCGAAGATTCGGAGTCACTGGATGGAAGAAGGGATAGAGAAAGGGAACTGGAGTGATGTTGGAGGTAAGTTCAGCTTGGCAGTTTTGCACAGGGCTGATTTTACAATGACTGTGGTTTCCACAGAAGGAGAACTTATTTTCTGTCTCTTCTGTACCTGCTGATTCTGAAAATCTCCTATGTGTTCTAAAAAATGTTTGTGAAGTGTGGTGTACACATCCTAAATAGCTAAAATGGCATCTACTTCTAACTCCAAGAAAATAAAAGAGCTGTGTGGAAAGAGGGAAAGTATCTGGCAAGGAGTGGTTAGAAAGGTAAATAATTATTGGCCACATTTCCTGTGTTTTCCTGATTTCATATATTCTCTCCTGTTGACCTCAGATTGTGCTCTTATTGCCCGCTACTCAGCTTTTCCTTTTATCGCTCCAAAATCAATACATATGAATGATATTGGGACCTCTTAATGTTTGAGTGCTCAGTCCTTGACATCTTTTATTCCTCTATTTTTGTTCCCATGGGAATCTCATTAAGTCTCATGGCTTTAAATATAAACTATTAACTTACGAGTCTCAAGTTTATATATCCGTTTCAGATTTCTCACCTTTATCTCCTGACTGGAATATCCAACATGGGTGTCTATCTCCATTGTCAAGTAGCCACGTCAAATGCAACACAAACTGCATTTCTAACTTTCCACTAGGCTGTTGCCTTCCCCTTTTCAGAAGATGGCAATTCCATCTTTCTGGTTGCTCAGAAAAAAACCCCAAAAATCTTGGAAAATATACTTGTAATCTTCTTTTTTTTCTCATACTCCACATCTAATTTGTCAAAATGTCATTGATGTCACCTTGAAAATACATCCAGAGTTATATTGAGACAGTATAATCTGTTTTCTGTGTTCCTGCAGTGTGCTCCTATCTGGTCTCCAGTTCTTTCCACCCATTCCCAGAACCCCAGCCAGAATGGTAAAACCCCTTCTCTCCCTAGTGCAGTGCTCACTATGGCACTCAGCATGAAAGCTGAAGTTCTCACAATGGCCCCAAGGCCCTGTGGCCAGCTCTACCTCACTCACCTCCATGATCTCTCATAACTCATCCTTTCCTCGTCATCCTTCTTTCGCTCCACTCTAGCCATATGGCTTTCCTGACGTTCCATGATCAGGATGGACATAATCCTAGCCTAGGGTCTTCCTGCTGGCTGTTCTCTCTGCCCCCAGATATACACATGGGTGACTTCCTCACTTCAAGTTATTGCTAAAATTTCATCTTTTCAATGAATCCTAGTCTGGCTACTTTGAAGAAAGTTGTAACTCTTCTCCCTGTCCTGACTCTACAGATCTACCCAGCTTTACTCTTTTCCATAATATGTGCCACCTCCAATATGATATACTAATATATTACATGCCATGTAATTTACCTCTTTATATATTTAAGCTTTTGTAATCTGTCTCTTGTCATTAGAATATAAGCACTGTAAGGATGAGGAGGTTCTTTGTTTCTTTCACTGATGCACCTAAAATAAGACTGGCACATCACATCGTACATGCTCAAAAAATATTTGTTGACTGATTATTATTATTTATTATATGGAGGTGAGTTATTTAATATACATCTGAATAGAATCATCATATAATTTGTATGAAACTCATTGAATACTTTCTTTTGGAATTAGATATAAGTAAAGAAAACAATGACATATATATGTTGTCCAGTGGGAAACTTCAAAAGGAAAATGATATATGCTACCTTCAACTGGAGTTTAAAACTTGAACTGTAATTGGAATTCTGACCCCTTTAATGGTGGATGGACTAGGTAATTTGGACCAACACTCCTGTTGACATTAACTGAAAAAGCTTGACAAAATATTTAAAAATCTTCTAAAATCACCTAAGAACTGACAAAAGAGTAAAGAATTACCTTGCCAAGACCTGCGAGAAGACAGTAATACAGAACACGTGCCTGGCATTTGGGATCACTTTTGCATGGTAGGGAACATTTGCCAACCCAGAACGGGTGGCTGAAGGGATGAGCACTGTTTGTGAAAGCCTCAGAGAACAGGGGGTACCTAAACTAGAGTTCAGTGATACCAAGAGTGAAGGGTCCATGGGAACACCGATTGTGGATGGAGCACCAAAAGTCTGCACCCTAGCAGTGAGACATAAAGCAACTCTTAACATGGATTCCAGGCAGCCTTCCAGTTATCCATGGGCCCCAAAACTTCCAACCTTGAAGTCTGATCAAATGGAGCCTAGATTGCCAGTGCAACCTGAGCTCCTAGCAGAAGCAAATGAAAGTCTTCTCTTAGAGGAGGACAAAGGTCATTCTCAGCCTCAAATTATAACTCTAAGGTTCCCCCCCCCCACTATGATGTCCACTACACTGTTAAAGATAAGAAAGAGAGACAAGAAAACATGACTGAGAATAGAACACTGAAACAGATCCATGGGACATCTGCAGGGTAGAATTACCAGAGGCAGACCAACATAAACCATGTTTATTATGCTTAGGGAGAGAAAACTCAGTCTTAAATATTTCATGAACAAACTGGAAACTATAAAAAGTGATTATTTTCAAATTTGAAAGAGAGTGAACTAGAAATTCTAAAATTGTCAAACTGGAAGTGTTTTTCTCCCCCACTATTATTCTCTAACAATGAGATATTCTCTATTGAAATGATGCAGTGCTGGTGAATATTTCTATTTTATTTTCACTTTTTCTACTTATGCTTTTATCTAACCTTGGATTTTTCCAGCTTATCAAGTTTAAGGTGAGATATAAAGCAATTGTTCAATAGGATTATATTTTCATTCTCAGTGTTACATTTTTCATTCTCAATGCTCCTTTGTGACAGTTTAGTGATAGTTGTTTAGGATACTTATGTTTTGTTTTTGGTTTTAGAACTGTTCTGCAGTTGCTCCTTTTATATGTAGATGTAAGAGGATTTTTATTTTTGCCTTTTCTTATTGCAGTATTTCCTGTTAGATAACCAAATTTAAACATCCATGAGCCCTACACATAGTACTTTTGGAACAAGGTTTTCTTCTTACATTTTCTCCTTTGATAATTGGTTAACTTAGCTATGAGAATTTCAAGAATAACAGGATTGTAGAGTGAGAAGAGGAGCTGAGGCCAAAATTTAAGCCCCTTACTCCTCATTTTAGAGAATCCTGTGGCTTTGGAGATGCTGAACATTCCAGACTGGTCTAATTGTTGATAACAGACTGACAGCTGACTCATGTTACTGATATCAGAAGGCTCAACAAAGCAATTCTCTTGTCCTTTGAAGGCATTTGTTTTACTGTGGTATTGGTTATTACATTTTCAGAGAGTTTTATAACCCTGAGATTGCATATTTGAAAGAGACTGTACTGGAAGAAGACACACCAGATGGCATAAAGGGGGAAAAAGCCAATCTAATCTAAAATGTGGTAATAAATGAATTTTTATTTAATTAGTATGCTAATGATTAATAGGAAAGTCAATACAACTGACACCAAAGATATATTAGACATGTATTATAATAAACACTCTGATTTGTGCTGCTATAGTCTGTCAGATTGACATATCCCTGCTTATGTTTTATGTGACACAGGAGTAAAGAAAGAAAAGTTATCTATTGTCGCCAGACATACACTGAATGGTAGCTTTATTTGAACAATTCCCATCCTTCCTTCCCGAGGAGCAGCATTGTAGTCGCCAAGTGTCCTGAAGGATCTGATAGAACAGCAAGAATTTCCAGGTAGAGCCAGTGATTGAGCCAGGTGAGTGGCACCTTTGTGGTTGTAGGTGTTGTGTATGTTTGCAGATCACATTCCCAACCAGTGGCTGAGGCTTAAAGAGCAGAGTCATGCTCCCAGCGGAGAGGGATTTGAAACAAAATAAATCAGAGTTTCAGGGGTCCAGATGAGTGGGCTGGGATTCAGATGAGGGTGCCTGCTTACAGTGGGAGGAAGAGGGAGCCTAAGGGCAAATCAGAAAGGCAGAAGCACAGTCACACAGATGAGAAAAACACACCTGGGGCTTCCAGGGGGAGCTTCCACCAGAGGTCTCCAAGCTGGGAACATTCAGCCTGGGGGCTGTGCACATGATCCATGGGAGCAAAGAAGAGAAACACTAGCACTGTCATGTTTATTTTCACCTCATTCTTTAAAACATTACACTTCTATGTATGTCTTATGATGTATATAATATAGTACTACAATAGAACGTGTGTGTAATTTACATGTAAATAGAGGCACATATATAGGGATGCATGCTCAGTCATTTTTGCTAGTGGGGTGTTACCATCTCTGCCTAGGTACAGGGCGATTAGTCCACTGGCTAATCCAGCTTTGTACAGGGTTGGCTTAAAAAACCCAGTGGGACTGAACATACAGGTGACAGGGCTGCTCAGTCATTACTAAGAGGTCAGCAGAACAAGGACTGGCAAACTCTGAGAATTGTGTGCAGGTTTATTGACGTAGGCCCGCCTGTCCTTCCTTTTCTCCCTCCTCCTTCCCTCCTTTCCTCCTTTCTCCCTTTCCTCACTCCCTTCCTCCTTCTTTTTACAAGTACTTGGTCCTGACAGGATCTAGTTCTTCAATTCTTTACCTTTCTTTTTTTAAAGATTACTTATTTATTTATTTATTTGAAAATTGAGAGAGTGAGCATGAGCAGCGGGGAAGGGGCAGAGGGAGAAGCAGACTCTTCTCCGGCTGAGCAGGGAGCTCGATGCGGGACTTGATCCCAGGACCCTGGGATCATGACCTGAGCCAAAGGCAGATGATTGACTGACTGAGCCACCCAGGAGCCCTATTTCTTTACTTTTCTATAAGAATTTTAACAACTAGCAAAATATCATTTATACACTTGGTAGTATGATCTTTTATTCTTTTGGATTTTAGCAGCTTATCAGAAATACACAAAGCTCTTTAGATGTCTTTTCTTTCAGAAAGTGCATTTTAATCTTTTTCTAGATTATTAGCACAAAATAAATAGTCACATTGTAATTATCCTAAAAAAACTCACAATGACCATTTTTCCAGTTTTATTAAGAAAAAATTGACATACATCACTGGATAAATTTTAGGCATACAGCATGATGGTTTGATTTACATATGTCATGAAACGATGGCCTCAGTAGGTTCAGCTAACATCCATCTTCTCATACAGATACAATAAAAAGAAAAGAAAGAAAAAAAGAAAATATTTTCTTGTGATGAAAACTCAGGATTTACTCTTTAATAACTTTCCTGTGTATCATGCAGCAGTGGTAATTATAGTCATCATGCTGTACATTACACCCCTAATAGTTACTTACCTTATAAGTGGAAGTTTGTACCTTTTGACCATACTTCCTCCAATTCCCTTTCTACCCTCCACCTCTGGTAACCACAAGTCTTTTTCCATGATTTTTTTTTTTAAGATTCCACATATAAGTGAGGTCATATAGTATTTGTCTTCCTCTGTCTGTCTTATTTCACCTAGTATAAGGCCTTCAGGGTCCATCCATGTTGTTGCAAATAGTAGAATTTCCTTGCTTTTTATGGCTGAATAATGTTCCACTAGTTATATACTACATCTTCTTTATCCATTCGTGCATTGATGGACACTTAGGTTGTTTCCATGTCTCGGCTATTGTAAATAATCCTGCTATGAACGTGGGGGTGCAGGTATCTTATCCAGTTAGTGTTTTCATTTCCTTTGGATATATTCTCAGAAGTAGAATTGCAGGATCATATGGTAGTTCTATTTTTAGTTATTTGAGGATCCTCCATACTGTTTTCCATACTGGCTGCATGAATTTACATCCCACCGACAGTGCACAAGTGTCCCCTTTTCTCCACATCCTTAGCAGAATTTTTCCTCTCTTTTTGATCTTGGCCATTTTAACAGGCATGGGGTGATACCTCATTGTGGTTTTATTTTATATCTCTAATGAGTAGAGATGTTGAGCATCTTTTCATGCACTTGTTGGCCTTTCATGTATTGTCTGGAAAAATGTCTATTCCAGTCTTTTGCCCATTTTTAAACTGGGTTATTTGTTTTTGTTTTTCTGCCATTGAGTTGTATGAATTTTTTAAATTGTTTTTCATGCATTATTTTATTTATTTATTTTTTAAATTTTATTTTATTATGTTATGTTAGTCACCATACAATACATCATTAGTTTTGATGTCGTGATCCAGTATGAATTTTAACCTATTTTGGGTATTAGCATCTTATCAGATATACAGTTTGCAAATATTTTTTCTATTCTATAGGTTATCTTTTCATTTTGTTGATGGTTTCTTTTACTGTTCAGAGCTTTTTAGTTGGATGTAGTCCCATTTTTGTTGTTGTTGTTGTTGTTGCTTGTGCTTTAGGTGTCATATCCAAAAATCATTACCAAGACCCATGTCAAAGAGATTTGTTCCTATGTTTTCTTTTAGGTGTTTCATGGTTCCGGTCTTATATGTAAGTCTTTAATCCATTTCAAGTTAATTTTTGTGAGTGGTGTAAGCTTTGGGTCCAGTTTCTTTACATGTGAATATCCCGTTATCTCCGCCACATATTTTGAAACAACTGTCTTTTCTCCATTGAATATTTTGGCTCCCTTGTCAAATATTAGTTGACTATATGCTTGGCTTTATTTCTAGGCTCTCAGTTTGGTTTCATTGGTTTATTTGTTTTTATGTAAGTACAATGCTGTTTTGAGAACTATAGCTTTATAGTATAGCTTGAAATCTGGAAGTGTGATGCCTCCTGCTTTGTTCTTCTTTCTCAGAATTGCTTTGGCTTTTCAGGGTCTTTTGTGGTTTCATATACATTTTAAGAGTTTTTTTTTTAAACTTCTGTAAAAAATGTCGTTGAAATCTTGATGGGATGGCATTAAATCTGTAGATGGCTTTTGGCAGTATTGACATTTCAACAGTATTAATATTTCTCATCCATGAACACAGGATACCTCTCCATTTATTTGTGTCTTCTTTGATTTTTTTTTTTTAATCAACGCCTTGTAGTTTTCAGAATAGAGATCTTTCACCTTTTAAGTTAAACTTATTCCTAAGTATTTTATTGTTTTTGATGCTCTGTAAGTGGGATTGATGTCTTTATTTCTTTATCAGAAAATTTGTCATTAGTGACAATGACTATTTTTAACTTATTGTTATTTTAACCATTGTTACAACTGCCAGTCTAATTTAGACTTTTATACCTTGAGCGCCGAGCCAGCAACTTTTATCTTTTCTTTATCTAGCTTTAAGTCTGGTGTGTGCAATCTAGATAATGAAATAACACCATTCTGGCAATCAGAGACTGGAACTTCAGGATGGAGACTGGGTAAGGCTCAGGGAGATAAAATTAGCCTTTATTTACAGTACATGAGAAAAAACAAGTCGGTCAGAATATAGCAACACTGTGTCATGCTACATTCTGAGTACCTCTTACAGGCTAGGCACTGAGCCAGCTGCTGCAGAAGTTGAGGGGGAAGATACAGGGCAATGTAAGGTATGTTACTAGAGCTAAAGAAGTTTATAATGTGGTTAACCATGCATATATATAAGTGTGGATAAACCATACACATATATAAAGGTAAGTAACAGTTATAAGTGCCAAATATGTATTACAGACAATAAGACTTTAAGAGCTCAGGAGAAACATAAGGTTTTACTTTCCCTTTTGTTTTCTTCCTTTAATCTCCCTGCACTTTTTCAAATCTGTTCATATTTGCTTAGATGATTTGATGTGGATGATTATAATGCTTATACAAAACGACAGGTAAATTTAACTATAGACAAACCTAATTACTGTATTTGGTTCCTTTCATCCATCCATTCAATCTTCCATCATCCATCCATCATCCAACATTTATAAAATCCTTATTATGTACCAGGCAACATGCTAAGTGGTAGAATTACAAAGTGCATTACAAAGGATACAAAGGTATCCTCAATTCATATTTGCTGATGAGAAGTCTACTTTGACCATAAATGAATGACTCTGGGATACTAATAAATGATAGATTCAGCTCGAGGATCATGTTCATTCATTCATTCACTCACTGACTTATGCATACATAAAGTGTTTATTCTTATATACCAGGCACCATGTTCAGTGATGGGGATTTAGTTTTAAAAAGGCAAAACGTGGACCAAGCCTGTACAGTAAAACTGGTTCTAGTTTTCATAGTTCTTTTTTTTTTTTTTTTAATTTTTTTATTCTTATGTTAATCCCCTTACATTACAACATTAGTTTTAGATGAAGTGTTCCATGATTCATTGTTTGTGCACAACACCCAGTGCTCCATGCAGAATGTGCCCTCCTAAATACCCACCACCAGGCTAACCCATCCTCCCACCCCCCTCCCCTCTAGAACCCTGTTTGTTTTTCAGAGTCCATCGTCTCTCATGGTTCGTCTACCCCTCCGATTTCCCCCGCTTCATTCTTCCCCTCCCGCTACCTTCTTCTTCTTCTTCTTTTTTTTTTTTTCTTAACATATATTGCATTATTTGTTTCAGAGGTACAGATCTGAGATTCAACAGTCTTGCACAATTCACAGCGCTTACCAGAGCACATACACTCCCCAGTGTCTATCACCCAGTCCCCCCATCCCTCCCACCCCACCCCCCACTCCAACAACACTCAGTTTCCTGCGATTAAGAATTCCTCATATCAGTGAGATCATATGATACATGTCTTTCTCTGTTTGACTTATTTCACTCAACATAATACCCTCCAGTTCCATCCACGTCGTTGCAAATGGCAAGATCTCATTCCTTTTGATGGCTGCATAATATTCCAT